AAATGGAGTAGGGAAAGTGTGAATGAGCAGAATTCTCTCCCTTCCCAGCTCCGCATACCATCTCTAAGATTTGCCAAGATGGGAGAATCCTGATCTCTTCCTAGAAATGCCATTTCCGGTCTCGTTTCTCCGCGTTCTCTCTCTCTCTCTCTCTCTCTCTCTCTTTCTCTCTCTCTCTCTCTCTCTCACACACACACACACAGAAACACACACTCCACCCGGGCGGCCACCCGCTGAGCCTGAACTGGCCAGGGTTTCGAGAGTAAAATCCTCCCCTTGTTCCAACACCCAAGAGACAGAGTATAAATGTTCTAATTTTTTGTACGTGGGATAAGCATAGAGGGAAAAAGGAAGAGAAAGCGAGAGGAAAAAGGAGAGGGAGACTAAATGTATGAGACTCAAACTACAGACATCATTTGTCTGTTTTCATCCAGGGGAGAACCTTGATGAAGGCTTTTCGGGCCGGCAAAATACGAGAGAACCTCATGCGTCTTGAGGTGGGGCGCCTGAAACCCAAAGAGCAGCGATCTGCCTCGGAAAGCCGAAGAGGCGATCAATACACTACAAGGCACAATTTCAACACGAACCATCCTCAGTATCCTTCGAAGGGGAAAGGAGAGAAAACATCCTATCTGGGAATTCATTCGATCAGGCCACACAGAATTCCACCTTGTTCTCGGCGGTCCTGCTTTGGAAATGGATTCTCCCTGTTCACGCCATCTCTCTTTCTGCTACAGCACTAAGGCTCACGGCATAAGGGAGAGGGGAAAAAATAAACAACACACCCGAACACACACACACACACACACACACACACACACACACACACACACACACCGTGAACAGCCAGCAAGAAAAGGGCGAAAAAAAATTTCCCTCTGACAAACCCTAAAATATTCAAACATATTTGGGAGACCGATTCTCCTTTCCCCCACTCCTCATCCTATTGTCGTGCCAAAGGCAAAATATAGTACAAGGCTACAGTGCAATGCCAAGTTTAACCCCTGTCCTCACTTCTCTTCCCACACCAAACTCACTCGGCGCCAAATCCCGAGGACTTTCTCAAAGACAACAAGCTGCAAATGCGAATTCCTGCCTCCGAACCCATGCCAGGGTATTCTTAATAAATCAGATTTGCCTTTTCGTTACCCAGAATTCTGGTTGTAAGATGGGATCTCCCACTTATTTTAATTTATTCAGGAACCCAGGAGCGGAAGCGAGCGGGGCTGAAAATAATAAAATTTGGTTCTCAAGGCCACATATATGCATGGCTGTCCAGAAATTGGGAAAGACACATATAAATAAATAGATAGATAGACAGTTAAATCCGCTGCTGAACCTTGTAACCATCATCTGCCGCAAATCCTGACCAAACATGACTCCGGATTATAACCACCGGGCTGCAATCCTGCTCAGAAAATGCTTTAAAAACCGGACTGAATTTCGCAAGCTTTCAAACCGTCTAAACGTGGGTGAGGAATACACTGTACTTTTATCTGTACTTTCATCTGTATCCATCTACATTTATGTCTAGATCTAAATATACAGATAAACACATGCTGGATAACACATAGAAAGAGCAATTGGGAACGAAAGGTGATACATTGTATTGCATTGAATTGAGGTGGTAAGGATATACGAATTTATTAAAAACATGGGATCTTTTGCTGCCACGGACAAAACAAGAAATTATTCAGTATATTGAATGCAGGGGGTGAGGGATAGGCGAAATAGATTGACACCCGCAGTGGCTAACGCGCGATGCCTCTTTTGCACTCAGTTCTCGGCAGGAAGCCCAGAAGGTCGAGCCTTGCTGGTCTCAAAACGCCTTCGCCTCTAAGGCTTGCCAAGCTGACTCCCAAATCTGAACCTCTTTTCCTGATCCCGAAAAGGGAGGGAGGGAAGACCATAACCCAAATGCAATCCAGACCTTCCTTCCAGTTGCCTACCATCTTTCCCTTGCCTGCTTGTATGGCGCCCTCAATGCAACATATAACATTTCATCAGATAAAAGGAACAGATCCAACCGGGGCCACCCACCCACCTACCCCACCCATACAGCAATCCTCCAAATCCAGAGCCGCATTTTCTTTTGAATGCCCCGTAGCTGGGTTTTGTGCTTTTGCTTTTGCTGCAGTGCCTGCCTGCCAGCCTGCCTGCCTGCCCTCCCTCAGTTCCCCCCTCCCACACAGACCTTGCTGCCTAGGGCAGCCAAAATGGCTTCTGTGTCTCCCAATACGAAGGAACAAGGCACAGGACCCTTCCTCTGGATCATGCCTCCCCAAGAATTTTCCAGACCAAACCCGCAATCATGCTACAAGGCAGACAGAGGATACTAGCAAGGCGTTTTCTCTTTCTCACGGACCCCCACCCCCACCCCAGCCCCAAGGAACCACAGGAAACCCACATAAAGCTAATCAGACCAGCCTTCAGCTACCGCCTCTCCTATGCAGAGAGCTCCCTTTTGCATCAGCGACTTGTTTAGGTGGTGGGACTCTAGTGGTTTCCAACCATTTCAAGTTCAAGGACACGACCACCTTCCCTTCCTACGGAAAAGAAACGCCCTTCGCTGTGCTAGCCCAAAGGCGCTCCACAGCC